TCCCTCTAGTGGTGAAGTGCTTCTGTCTGCCCTTTTTGAAGCCATTGCCTGCCCAACCACAGCACAAAAGGCTAATGCTGGGGTTCAAAAATCTCTAAACAGTACCTACCTAGAAAAAAATCAATATGCTATTGAAAAAAATTACTGAAAAGCCAAAGTAAATGAAATTTCTTACGTGTTTCTTTCCAAGTGAATAATGTGCTCTTTCCCTTGAGCTTGAATGACATAAGACACCTAAATGCATAGACAAAAGAACAATAAAATACCATGTCGTAAATTAATTAATAGCCTATCATTTACAAGATGCAGGAAAGTCTACCCTGTATTAAAATAACTTGGAACTAACTGTAATTTATATAATTTTATATATTCTTAGAAAATAGAATATATTCTAATCATCCCCGCCCCTCATATCTGGGGTAAACCTTCATGTTCACCAAAGCTCTTTAAATTCATTTATAATTCAGCTGTAATTTTAGGGACTTTTTTAAGTCCATCCATGTATTATCTACAGTCTAAAGTAGTTCTTTATTTTGTTTGAATGAGGTGAACTTCTTAGTTTCAAGGGATTATCCCAAATTCTAATTATGCAAAAGTGGAAAAGAAGTTCAAACTTTATGACTTTACATCTTTTCATGGCTTACCTCATTTCATCCATTCTAAAATGCACCACCACCACCCTTATTAACATCTCTGGCATGAGAACCCATTGTGTTAAGACATGGCAATCTGACTGGCAGCATATCTGTTTCTTGGTAGTCCACAAAATAATGCACTGTGTATTACAACTGAAGGCATCTTAGAGTCGGTGAATTAAACTAAGGTAAGTTAAACTTCCACATCATCCAGTTCAGACGACCTTCTTCTCTACCTCAAACTCTGAAACAACTTCCCCATTACTGCAGTTTGGATCACAAATGTTCCTCAAAAGTCTACGTATAGACTGGGTGCTGGTGGCTCATGCCTGTAATCATACCTACTCAGGAGGCAGAGATCAGGAGGATCACAGTTCAAAGCCAGCCTGGGCAAATAGTTCACGAGACCCTGTCTCAAAAATACTCAACTCAAAAAATGGCTGGCAGAGTGCCTCAAGTGGTAGAGCATCTGCGAAGCAAATGTGAGAACCTGAGTTCAAACCCCAGTACCACCACCACCAAAAAAAAAAAAAAGTTCATGTATAAAAGTTTGGTCCCAAGAGGGTACTATGAGCTTTCGGGGGTAGGCCTGGTGGACAGCCCTTAGGTCACTGGGGGCAAGCACTTGAAGGAGCTTTGTGGTACCTGGTAACTTCCTGTTTTTCTTTGTTGTTCCATGGCTTGGAAGATGAGCAATTTTGCTCCACCTTGCACTCCCACCATGAAGTGCTGCCTCAGCATAGGCCCAAAACCATGGAACCAATTGATCATGAAGTAGAACCTTCAAATCTGTGAACCGAAATATTTCCCCCAGTACTGAGTTTTAAACTCAGGGCCTTGCTTTCTAGGCAGGCACTTAACTACTTCAGCCATGTCCCAAGTTCAAGCCTTTTCTCTATATAAGTTAATTATCTCGAGCATTTCATTACAGTGATAGAAAGCTGACTAACACACTCAATAACTCACCATTTCATTAGCCAGAAGAGTTTACTGTGATCTCTAGAACCTGGAGATTCAACTTTACCTTAACTCTAATAAAAATTAAAGTCAAGGAGGTATACAACAAGTAATATTATCAGAAGCATCTATTTAATTTTCTCTACTATTTCCAGAATCTTTGAATTTTGCCAAGAACTAACATGATCCCCTCTCCTACAGACTATCAGTCAATGATTCCTAAGGACCAGTTTCTGGATCCTGGTACTTTATCTCCACATCCTGCATGGGAATCTGAGAACTCTTCTCTATCTCAATCTACAGTGAGACTTCAAAAATACCAAGTTCTTTCCGTCAGCTCAGTTTTGGCATATCTACCTTTTCTATCCTTTCTGCTGCTGATAGTCATAGGATTTTAAAACACCATGGCCATTTCTACTGAAAAGAAATCTGAGAATCTGAGAATTGTTTTGTGATGCTATATTCTCCTCCCAAATACCTGCATGAACTGCTCACTCCCTCTTGTGTTAGTTTTCCGTCACTGTGATAAAACACCTGAGAGAATCTACTTAAAGGAAGAACTGCTTATTTTGTTTCATAGTTTCAAGTTTCAGTCCATGGTCACCTGGCTCCATTGTTTTGGGGCCTGTGGAGAGGCAGAACATCAGGGTGGGGAGTACATGATGGAGCAAAGCTGCTCAACTCATTGCAGCCAGGAAGCATAAACAGAGAGAGGAAGAGACTAGGATTGAAATAACCCCACAAAGGGCACATCGCTAATGATCTAGCTTCCTCTCAGTAGCAGCCAAGTGTTTACACATGGGCTTTTGGAAGACATTCAAGATCTAAACAAACTAGACCTCCTCTGGTCTTTACTCCAGGACCACCTTCTCAGTAAGGCATTCCCTAGGCAATTTATTAAAAAATGCATCCCTGCTCCATTTCACCACTGGAGCTCTCCCTATCCCCTTCCCTGTATTAATTTTCTCCGTGGCATTTTTTTGGGGGGGCTCTCTCCCCCATTACAAAAAAGCATGGATTTTGGTCTGTTTTGTTCACTGCCATATCCCCAAGGCCTAAATAGTGCCTACCATATATATAGTAGGAACTCAACAAAATTTCTGAATGAGTAAATTATACTCATACAATCAATGAAAAAATCCAGTTCAATATGTGCTCAACATATCACTTCTCCAAATATTTATCAAAGCATATAAATGGGTAATTTATTACAATCACAAGAAGGACCTACATGTGCAGTACTGATGAAGACACTATGTGAAGCACACTAAAGTAGAAAACATAGTCCCCGTGTGAAGAAAATATAGTCCACCATCTTGTGAAGAAAAAGGAGAAAACAATGAAGCAAACAGGATTTAATTACATCATAAGGCAAAACATAATCAAATGGCTCAAAATAAAAACAAGGAAAAATCATAAATTGTACCCCTTGAAGGAGATCTTAAAGTCCTTTATCATTTAGAAAGCAGAAAATGGAGTTCAATGACCAACCCAACTGGTGTTTGTACCAGCAGAAGGACCAAAACTAAAAAGCTCCTGATTTTAAACTGCAGTGCTGTTTTTATTATACGCAGTCCCTAATTAACAAGCAAGCTGCCTAACAGCCATGAGTACATCAGCAATTCAGAGATAATATGCTAAACTTTATCCTTCATTATCTGTTACAGTAAAATTATAATAAAGTTAAATGACACTTCTATACAGTTGAAAGATATGCAAGATCAATTGAAGACATTATTTCTGAACAATCTGTACAATAAGAGAAAATAGTCAAAAATAGAATTTTTATGTATTGATTACCCCATTAACATACATAGGAGGTTCCTCCAATACAGAAAAAAAATTCATTTTAGGTTAGTATTCCCAGATATGAAATATAGGCATTTCACACATTACTATTCTCTAGTGTAAGTGAAGATACAATATGAAACATTCTATCAGAAACTGAATGAAGTTAATTCTTTTGTGGGGAGAGGGGTGCGATTTTTAAAAATCTTTTTTCCTTTTTTGGGGGGTGAGGGGAGCTTTATACTTGTAAAGCAGGTACTCTACTGTTTGAACCACACTTCCAGTCCATTTTGCTCT